CTTCTATATAAATATATTTTTGTTGAAACCTACTTTCAGGATCTTAGGAAAGATCTATTTATTATAAAAAGCATTTTTTGGAAGCTTATGTTATTCTTTTAAGATTTTAACAAAATCGATTTTTAGAAAAAATATTTCATGAATTTTCTACTTTCTATTTTTGTTATTTTATCCTTAAAAACAACTTCTAAGATATTAATGAAATATTTAATTTTAGAAAGAATATTTCATGAGTTTTCTTGCTTCTGATTTTCATATTTTTAATTTACCTTCTTCCCTAAAAAAGACTTCTAAGATTTTAATCAAATATCTAGTTTTAGAACATTTCATGAGTTTTATTCTTTCTTATTTTTTTGATACTTATATTTTAGGATTTTTACGAATTATGTATTTTTAGAGCTTTCTTGCTTCTCATTTTGTAGCTTTTTATTTTTTCCCTAGGAACAACTTTTAAGATTTTTACGAATTATGTATTTTTGAAAGAAATTTCAAAATTTCATGAGTTCTTGCTTTTCATTTTCTAGCTTTTTAATTTTTTTCCTAAAAACAATTTTAGGATTTTATAAAAATATGTATTTTTCGAAAGAACATGTACGAGCTTTCTTGTTTCTTATTTTCTGGCTTTTTATTTTTTTAGTTTTTTTATTTAAAAAAATATTTAAAATTTTATAGAAATATGTATCTTTAGAAATAATATTTCATGCTTCATATTTTCTTATTATCTGCGACTCTATTTTTTCCCCAAAAAACAACTTTTAGAATTTTAAAAAAATATGTATTTTTAGGAAGAACATTTCGTAAGTTGTCTTACTTCTCATTTTCTTATTTTCTAGCTTTCTATTTTTTTCCTAAAAAAAACTTTTGGGATTTTAATGAAATGTGTATTTTTAGAAAGAACATTTTATGAGTTTTCTTGCTTCTTATTTTTCTATTTTCTAGCTCTTATTATTTTCTCTAAAAAAATTTCAGGATTTTAATATTATATGTATTTTTAAAAATACATTTTAACGAAAGAACATTTTATGAGTTTTTTTGCTCCTCATCTGCTTATTTTCTAGCTTTCTATTTATTTATTTTTTCCCCCAGTAAAAACTTTTAGAATTTTAATTAAATATGAATTTCATTTCATTTTTCCAATAGCTTTCTATTTTTCCAATAAAAAAACTTTCAGGATTTTAATGAAAAATCTATTTTTAGATAAAACATTTTGAGTTTTCTTGATTCTTATTTTCTTATTTTCTAGCTTTCCTTTTTTTCCCAAAAAAAACTTTCAGGATTTTAATAATATATGTATTTTTAGAGAAAATACTTCTCTAACATTAGTTTTTCTAGCTCTCTATTTTTGCATTATTTTTAGAAAGATTATATTTTTTCCCCTAAAAACATCTTTTAGGAAAAACTTAACTTCTCAGAAAGAATATTTCATGAGTTTTTTAGTTTATTTTCTAGCTTTCTATTTTATTTTTATCGCTAAAAACAACTTTCAAGATTTTAATGAAATATGTATTTTTAGAAACATTATGTTTTTTTTTATTTTATCCTGAAAAAAACTTTTAGTAAACTTAACTTTTCAGAAAGAATATTATATGAGTTCTTTAGTTGCTGATTTTCTAACTTTTTATTTTTTTTTTTATCCCTAAAAACTTACAGCATTTTAATCAAATATGTATTATTAGAAATATTCTATTTTTTCATAGTATCCTCTAAAAACAGGATTTTATTAATCTTTGAAAATAAGATTTTTAGGAAATATTTAACTTTAATAGAAATATTTCATGAATTTTGTAGTTTCTTCAAATTGATAAAAATAATTTATAAATAGATTAAATGCATCTAATTCTTTTACTTGAAAAATGCTTTCAGGATCTTTAATAAAAGCAATTTTTGTAGAGGTAGAACCATTTTACAACTTTGTAAATTATTTTTTAACATTTGTAGAAGCAAAAGAGGAAGAAGATAAATAACTAGAAATTAAAGCAAGCCCAAAAATAAATACATTTCAAATTCTTACCTTCTCTACCAAAAATCACTCCACCAATTTTGAATCCCTTACCAAAATAAATGAGCAAAGCTTCAAATATTATATAAAATTAGTAAAAGCAACAACTTAAAATTAAATTAAAAACTAAACAACCATATACATAACACTTTCGTGATGTCGAAACATAAAATGAAACATAAAAATGAATGGTAAGCGAAAAATTATCAACAACCAAGGTTAGTAAAGTAAATGTATTAAAGTTTCCACTCACGAACAAAATGAAAAACAAACACTTTATTATTATATTTATATTTACATAATTTCATTCAGTCGAAATCGTGATTTGTAGGTTATACAGTGCACGTTGCTGGGTAAATTATTTATTATAACTATTGAACTGGTTTTATATAGTTTTTTCGATCACTGAATGGGATTAGGCACAGTTTTATGTTTGTTTTAAAACGTTCACTTTGTGTTTATCGTTTGAGACTGATTTGTAAAACGAATAAAAACTGTATTGAAGTCTGACTGTTCCCACTTCGGAGACATAACCTAGAAATTGTACGAGCGAGACTTTTCGATTTGACAGCGAGGCTCGAGTGACGCAGTGTAAGGACGGTTCACATGGGGGAAAATATAAATGTGACAGATGGTAAAGGAACTAGTTTTAAAATGGCGACTTTTGAAGGCAAATTGCTGCAACTTCATGCATTGTAATTTAAAGTTCGAGGAATTTTAAATGTTTTCAAATAGATTATTATAAATGATGATGATGTAATTTATATTATTCGTATTTTATAGACGAAATATAAGAGCTTATAAATTGGACGACGACGTTTGTATATGTTTACATATAAAGTAAAAGAACAGAACTTAATGAAGGACCTTATCTCATATTTCTATTAATTATATAAATTGAATCGCAAAGTTAAAATTATTTCAAGTGTATAAACGAGCTTTAAAATTATAACTAGAATTAAAATTAAAATCCGAATTGTTTTCGATATTTTTTTAGAAATAAAAAAACTAGAGGTGTATGGCATCGTGTGTTAATGCAGATTGCTGGAACTTCTCGTACCATTTTTTTTAAATATTCAATTTTTTTTTAAACTTTGAACAAATTTGATTTTTGAGAATTTTTAAACAAATTGACTCTTTTAAAAAAACTGAATTTTTTTAACATTTCGAACTTTTTTGATAATTTTGAATTTTTCCCTAAACAATCGTGCTGCGTGTTTTTTTTTTAGAAAAAAAATATTGATAAATAAACATTTGTATTTTTTTTAAGTCTAATGATCATTTTTGTCCACCAAATAGCATATTTGTCACTTTTTTCATTGGATTCCCAAAACCGCTGGGATTGGCATTCTAAAAATTTAATCAGTTTTTCATTCCGCCAATACGAATCGATTATATTATCAATCAATCTAATCGGGTGCCCCGTTTTCTCAAAAATTGAATTCCCACTACTCTTTTCCCCGTATCTTCGAAACGGCTAAACCTGTCTTTGCCAAAAACTAATCAGCACGTCTCCCCCTCAAGAGGAATCGAATATTTTTGAATCATTCAAATCAGTTAATCCGTGTTCTCGAAATCGTTGACAAAAAATTGTATCCGCACATGCATACACACATAAACAGACATCCATTCATTTCTAAGAAGACATCCATCAATCACGTGATCGATTTTTTAAGGATTTTCGGACCTTAAAATTACCCCCGCTCCTTCCATAAAAAATCAAGTGTATTTATGAGAAAAAATTGATAAATTTTTGTTTTTTTTTTGAAAATGTTCAGATTTTTTTTTAATTCTGGTAAAAAATAAATACACATGATGTCTTACTATACCCATACTATACCCCTCCCTCCCCCATGTGATATTTCGTGATTTTTTGTTATTGCCTTAAAAACCTCTTAATGGATGCCCCTGAGGTATGCCTAAATGTTCAAAAACCTTTAAAGTTTGTTTCACAAAAATCCGACTCGCTAATTTAATGCTTTCTCGACGTTTCAAGTCATTATGAATTGAATGGGACCATATTTATATGGGTCTGTGTGTATGTGAGCCTATTTTTGACATTTCGTCGGCAATTTCTCATAAAACGGCTGAACCGATTTCAAAAATTTAAAAGCTGTTCATTGTAACTCGATGAGGACTAGATCGATATCATGGTCATATACAGCATACTAAAATAATACGACTTTACGACAAATAGTTTAATTTTAAAAATTCATCAAAGGTTCAAATTTGTAATGCGATAAGTAAAAAATTTGAAATTCACAAATTCAAAATGAAATAAACTCGATAAAGAGTTTAGATTAAAGAGCAGCTTTGGAATTAGCAAAAAAAATGGGTGAGCAGTCTACGAAACTTCTCTAGTTGTGTAAAAAAATTACTATTAATGTAAATGATTCAAGGATAAAGTACATGATATAAATATTCGTGCCAGTATTTCTTATAGCAGATGCTTAATATTTCACAATTTAATTTATTAAGTTTCTTAAAAAACTAAGTTTCTACATTTTTCATAAAATTTAACATAGCGATAAAGTACATGCACATAATGCTTATAAATTAATTAAAATTTGGAATAATAAGCTACAATTTTATAACATGAACGTGTCTAGGCACTATAATTTATATAATTACAGATATCATAAATGTGTTTGAGAGATATCAATTGGAAAGTAGATTGGAGTGAAAGTATACTTTAGTTTCGAAATAAACAGTTGAAAATTTTATCTAAATATCAAATTCTCATTTTCGTTTGATTAAGTCAATTATTTCGCATAAAATATCATTTATGATTATAAACCATCCTTTATCACCATGACAGTTTGCAATAAGTGAAATTGAGTGAAATTGTTCGACCGCGGCCGGAGCCGATCGTCGACGACTGCGACGTCCGACTTTGGCCGAATCAAAACCAAACATAATCAAAAATATTCCGTCAATTATTGAAATTATAATAAATTTGCTTTCATCGAATTATAATACATAGAATTGATGTCATAAATACCTTTCGAGTAATTTCATTTCGCTAACCTACTAAGGAGACAGATGACGATGGATGGATAAACGATTTGATTCACATTTATCATCACACGCGAGATAATAGATAGATAGATGATTTTTATTATTAATAATTGATATTTATTATGGTTATTAATTAATACTGATTGTTTGTTAATTTTGTGTAATTATTAATTACATGATGCGATGTTCGTGATAAGTTTGTCAAAGTAAATATTAGTATGACACGACGTATAAGTCAGCTTTCGCCCATTTGGACGCAGTAGCGTACTCAAATTCATTTAATTGACAACAAGTAGTCTGTTGTTTTTAATTGATAGTAAGTTTTATTTTATTGGAATTGATTCTGTTATTGCAATTGGTGCTTGACACATTTATTAGAAGTTTCGACCTACTATTTTTAACTTCTTGAAGTAGAAGTTTATGTTTTTTCAAGAAACTCATGTAAGTAGCGTTTTGCCTTGACAAGTTGCATAAACAACCCCATACCATAGACCTTATACTACATGGATCGAAGAAAGGGGACTGTGACGTCACATAATGAACGAGCTTTGCCGACAATCGTAGAACACTCTCATCGAATTTCAGTTTCATCGAATAGCTTTTAAATTGTTTAAATCGGTTCAGCCGTTTTTGAGAAAACGTCGACGAAAATTCAAAAATCGGCTCTCACATACATCTTCCAGTTTTGGTCTCAAACGATTCAGAATGACTTGAAACGTCGAGAAAACAAAATTAGCAATCGGATTTTTTTGCGAAAACAAACTTCTCTTTCTGGAAGTCAATAAATCCAAGTATTATAATAGATTGAAATAATAAATAAAAACTAGTAGTGTGTATGGCATCGTGCCTTAAGGCAAATTGCTGGAACTTCCCGTACCGTAACGAAATGTTCGAGGAATATTAAATGTTTTCAAATAGACTATTATAAATAAATACTGTAATATTGTCTAATATTTATAAGAATTATATAAACTGAATTGCAAAGTTGAAATTATTTGTTTAAAGGATGTTAAAACTTAAGTCAAAAATACAATTGAAATCAGAATTATTTTCTGAAAAAAAAATGAAATAGATTTTTTTTTGCCAATAGCAATTATTTTGTTAAAATAAGCAGAAAGTTCTTTGAATCATTCAAATCGGACGCTTAGTTCTCTCAAAAACTGCAATTTTTTGCACATTTAGCTCGGTATCTCCGAAACCTGTGGACCTGCCTTTGCCAAAAACTAATCACCTCTTCTCCTCGTTATTACGATATTAATGTACGATATTAAGTTCGGATCATTCAAATCCGATACTTCGTTCTCTCAAAAACACGATTTGTATTTTCTGCACTCTTTGCTCCGTATCTCCGTAACGGCTGGAAATACCTTTGCCAAAAACAAATCAGCACATCTCCCTATCAATAGGAATCGAATGTTTTTTTAACCATTTTTCTGAGGTATGCCAAAATCTTCAGAAACCTTCAAAACGCCAAAAAATGTAAATATTTTCAATTTCGATTTTTGGACGATTACAATAACCTAGCTAACGGAAAGTTAAAAATCATTTTTTAGGAATTGAACAAACTAAAAAAATAGCCTCAGGGCTTTTTATATAATTCTTCAGGAAAAAATAGCTCCAAAAATTAGTCCCCAACTTTGATTTCCCCAAATGATATAAAAACATCAATATCATCAATTTAGATAGAAAAATCAGAAACAGTTTAGGTTTTTTTATTGGGCTCGCATACATACGTAGATATTTAATCATATCTACAATTACATTTTTTTACATTTTATACTATCTATATTATAACAAATAATATTTCTTTCTAACCTTTTTCTTCTTCTAATTCCTAATTCTATTCTATCCCAAATCAACAATTCTAATTCTATTTGATTCTAGGTCAGTACCAGGACTCGAACCGAGTACCTCTGGCACGTAAGTCAGGCATGCAACTGACTGAGCTATTCAACAATCTAAATTCTACTCAATTTCAATCCAACAAATCAAATGACAATTTTTTGTCTGCGCCAGGACTCGAACCGAGTATCTCTGGTGTAAAAATGTAAAAAGGATAATAGACGTCGACCATCGATTAAAGAGCACATGGTTGAAAAGCAACAAAATACAACAAAATCAAGGACAGATACTGCACGAGGGAAATCAGAACGAGGACCATCATCGAGAAGAAAAAAAAATTTACAAAAAATTTACAAAATTCAAGCTTAACCAACTTCCGTCCTATTGCCATCGAACATGTCCTCCGTAGTCGCGCCTAAAGAAGTTTTACTTCAAAAATACAACAATACAAAAACAACACTTGCAATAAATACTTAGAACTTTCTTGCGTGTTAAAAATAATATTCATTTATTTAAAATCCAAAATACTGTACAATTACTTATCACAATCGTTATCATAAAACATTTCAGTACTTTTTACAATTTCTAGAAATCACGTCAAAGAATCCATGTAGAAAAATTCCTTTCCTCGTGTTTTTCCATATTCTTTAATTACAAAACTACAATTTTCCTTTCTTCAATGCAAATTTCGTGCAAATTTTATTCACATAGCTACCATTGACTGATAAAATACTTTATTGAATATTATTGCCAAGGTTGTTTTTTATGCAAAGAAATAATAATCGTCGACAGTTGTGTATTGTTACACATAAAGAAATATTTGAATAGAATTATCGATGCAAAATTTCTATTTGCATTCGTATAGAATATATTGTCTATGTTCGATTCACGGATGAGGGCCTTGAAGGTCAAGATCAAGTTAAATTTAAACTGACCAGCATAATAGAATAATAATAGCAGATGTAATATGTTTATTGTTTATTGGCCCCTACCATCAAAGGATAAGGAGCTCCAAAAATTCTATTACAGTGATTTTATTAGATTTGTTCTGAATCTACATAGTAATTAATTAATTAATTCAAAGACTATATATTTCAATATATAAAAGTATGTACATTGCATATTATAACATGGGTTTATTACCCGTAGGTATTGTATCCTTCATTGGATTTGGTTTTTCAAACAATAATTAAAGTGTATGTAAAACTTTTTGACAAATCGTGTGGCAAAAAAGAGGAAAGAAACTTTTTCCCCCCAAAAAAACCACAAAGCAATATTTATAATAATAGTTAATTATACAAATAAAAAGAAAAACAAAAATAAAAGATTTATTCTCATCCAAGTATCAATTACCGCTATGGGTCGATCAGTATATATTTTGGCATGGCGTGATTGCCATACCAAATATCGTCTCTTGTGTATTGGCCGAGGCCCGCGATGTTAACATTAGGATGATCCCCACATTTTAGATAAAAATTCTCAGTGAGCTTTTTTATAAAGTCTAGTATGGTTGGTAAGTCAGTCTGTTTGTGTATGTATTTTGAAGAGTAGTAATGTCTAGTCAGTGGGTTCCTTATTTTGTTGAGTACGAGTCGTAGTGTCTTATTTTGTAATGTCTGTAGTTTTCGTAAGTTAGTCTTAGTCGTCGCGTTCCATGCCGGAGCGGCGTATGTCAGTATCGGTCTTATTAGTGTCAAGTAAAGTGTTCGCTTGTTCTTCACGCTTAGCGGGCTGTTCTGGTTCAAGAGAGGTCTCAGTAGATTCAACATCCCGTAAGCCTGTCCAATTTTGTATTAATATGTTTTGTGAAGCTGAGTCTATGGTCCAGGGTCACACCAAGATATTTGACATCCTTCGACCACTCAACTTCACAGTCCAATACTTTAATTTTGTCCAAGTCAGTCAGTCTAGTCATGGCATTTTGGCTCTTTGTAAATAAAATTGCCTCCGTCTTTTGCGGATTGATTTTAATCTGCCATTTGTCAGTATATTTCATCAGCTTGTCTATGTGTGTCTGTATCTTTGTAGTCAGTAGCGTCGGTGATCGTGATGATTTGTATATGGCAGTGTCGTCAGCAAACGTCAGTAACGTTGTGTCGGCGTCAGTGGGTATGTCGTGAATGTAGACGTTAAACAAGGATGGTCCCAGGATCGAGCCCTGCGGTACTCCCGCCGTCACTTGTTTAACCGTCGAAAGTCCGTTGTCTACTTGTACAGTGAAGTTACGGTCTGAAAGGTATGAGTGTAAAGTTCTCGTTATGTACGGTGGAAAGTTGAGTTGGATAAGTTTATGTACAAGTCCGTCCATCCAGATGGTGTCAAATGCCTTCTCAAAGTCGAGTAACACCAATCCGGTATGGTTTCGTCTGTTGAAGTTGAGTACTGTATTTTCTATGAGTTTTGTCAGTGGGTGTAGTGTAGAGTGTCGTTCTTTGAATCCGTATTGTGTGTCAGGTATAATTTTGTTGTGTCTTATGTGTTTGTTAAGTCTTTTGAGTAGTACCTTTTCGGCTACCTTACTCATTGTGTTGAGGAGGCTGATCGGTCTGTAGTTCTGTGGTATGTCTGGCTGTTTCCTTGGCTTCACTATTGGAAATATGATGGAGGTTTTCCAAGAAGCGGGAAAGCAGCCTTTTGTCATTAGTCTATTTATTATGCGCGTAAGTAAAATGTAGGCGTTCGTCGGCAGTTGTTTAAGTATTATGTTTTGTAGTCCGTCCGGTCCTGGTGCTTTTCTGTTCGGTAATTTTTTAACTATTGTCTTTATTTCGGAAACTGTGGCAGGGTCTATTCGTAAGTCTTTGTCCCTGTGGAGGTCAGTGAAGTCTTGAATTGTCTCGTGTACGTCTTGTTTCAGGTCTGCGTTTGACATATTGGCATTTTGTTTATGTATGTTTTCAAAGTTTTTTGCCAATATTTCCGCCTTGTCTGCTGGTGTCGTTGCGTAATTATTGTCAGTTAATTTGAGTGGAGGTATGGATGTTGGTTTTTGCGTCAGTCTTTTTGCTGTCTGCCAAATTTTGTGTGGGTCAGTATTTATGTTCTCGAGTCTTTTGGTCCAAGTGCTGTTTCGGTGGTCACGTATTTCGTTGGAAATAATTTTTGTCAGTCTGTTAACATGTTCCTTGAGTAGTCTGTCACCGGTACGTTGCCACAGTTTCTTTGTATGATTTTTA